AAGTTCGGGACAGAAGAGCTCTTCAAAGATGACGTGGAAGGTGGGGTTGGGCAGGCGCTGGGGATGCTGGTGGGGCCCTGACCGAGCTGCTGGGTCTCCTTCTCCTCTTCTCGCACCCACAGGGATGGTGTCTCAGGGACAGCGGATCGCCATGCCTGATGCTGTCACCCCTTTCGCTGACACGCAGTCAACCAAGGGAGGTGCAGTGACTCCCAGCATGAAAAAAAAGCACGGTGGCACCCCCCCAGGTGTGTAGCCCCCCTTGTTGGGGTGACCCGTCCCCTTCCCTGTCCCTGCGCCCTGGTGCTGGGAGCGGGCGGTCTCCAAAGCAGGAATTTGCCTTTCTATTCCTCTCGCTTTGCTCTCCAGGTGACAATAAGGACGTGGATGACAGCAGCGTGATCCACTACGATGACGCTGCTATCTCTAAGCTTCTGGACCGCAACCAGGATGCGACCGATGACACGGAGCTGCAGAACATGAATGAGTATCTCAGCTCCTTCAAGGTGGCCCAGTATGTTGTGAGAGAAGAGGATGGTGTGGTAATGTGACCAGTATCATGTCTTACAACTGCACCGCTTTGTCTGTCCCTCTGTGTCTCTGCTGCTCCCTTTCCTGTCCTTGCCAGTGTTTCGGCACAGGGCAGGACCCCTCCCTCCTCCTCCAATGCTCCACCCCGGGGGTCCCGGGATCGGTGGGGCCAGCTGCGGGCAGGGGAGCATGGTTGTCTCTGTCCTGCGCAGCCTGCGGTGCGAGCAAGCCGCTTGTCTCTCTGTTTGCAGGAGGAGGTGGAACGCGAGATCATCAAGCAAGAGGAGAACGTGGACCCCGACTACTGGGAGAAGCTGCTGCGGCACCACTATGAGCAGCAGCAGGAAGATCTGGCCAGGAACCTGGGGAAGGGGAAGAGAATCCGCAAGCAGGTCAACTACAATGACGCCTCGCAGGAGGACCAAGGTACAGCTGTGGCAAAATATTTCAGATTGGTTTTTTTCTGTATAGGAGAATACTAGTTTTTGGGAAACCTGGGAATGTGGTTTCCCACGTGTTGTGTGCTCCTCTCTCACTGCCTGGTGGTGGATGCTCAGAAGGCTCTCGCCTCTCCTGCGTGTCCCTCCCGGGCAGGGTCCCACTGCTTGGGCACTCTCCTAACCTGGCCTCCCTTGCTCTGCAGAGTGGCAGGACGAGCTCTCTGACAACCAGTCGGAGTATTCCATCGGCTCCGAGGATGAGGATGAAGACTTTGAAGAGAGGCCAGAAGGTCAGAGTGAGTTAACGTTTGATGCTCCACGGGATTTTGCTCTGTGGGAGACCCCTGGCACTCAGGTGCAGCAGGAACACTGGGGTTGGAGTGACTGGTGTGCTTCTGGGCTCCCTTTGAGGGGAGGAAATGCCCAGGAAATTGCCTGCCAGGTGAGGAAATGCCTGGGGCAGGGACAGCAGCCGGCTGGGCTGCCTCCTTCCCTGGCCACTGCAGGACGTTGGTCTGGTCCCTGTGGTGGAAGGAGAGACCGCAGGAGGAGCAGGCATGGTGCCCCTGGGAAGGGCAGAGGAGTGCCCAGGCTCGGGGGGGCCGGTGGGGCGGGGGGAAGGGACTCTGCAGCCCTGGCTGCCGGCGGGCGTGCGGAGCTTGGGGTGTGTGAGCGCTGTGGGTGTCCTTCCTGACTGCCCGGCCCATCCATCACTGGGGCTGCTCGGCTCTAGGCGGCAGAAGACAATCCCGGAGGCAGCTGAAGAGTGACCGGGACAAGCCTCTCCCTCCTTTGCTGGCGAGAGTTGGGGGGAACATCGAGGTGAGTGTCAGCCTCAGCCAGAGCACGGCTGGTGCTGTTGGGCCAGGGCTGCCCTGGGCTCTGGGCTGCTCTGTGCCGTTGCCAGCACCTCAGTCCTGGTCCAGTGTGTCTGTAACAGCTCTGAGATGCCGCACATTTCCAAGGCCATGTTGTGATCCCAGTAACCCCTCCGCTCCCTGCAGGTTCTGGGCTTCAACGCCCGGCAGCGCAAGGCTTTCCTGAATGCCATCATGCGCTGGGGCATGCCGCCCCAGGACGCCTTCAACTCCCACTGGCTGG